CTACCACCCCAAATACATTAGGGAGAGTTGTATATATTTAAAAACATGTGTGAAAAATGTGTGCTTTTGAAAACCGTGCGCAAATATGCTTTAATCAATGGGAGAACAATGTGTACATTTGAAAAATGCACTCAATTAATGCAGGTATTTGGTAATATCTGCATGAAGGGCATGGAAGTTTGTGTGAAAAGAAAAAAACATGCTTGAGCTTTGAGAGGAAATTCAGAACATTTTGGTGAGCTCCCATTTTGTTACTTTGCAGATTCCTGGTGTTACCTTTGCTCGTCATCCCTTATCCCTCCCCCCCTCCTTTGTTTGTACAAACAGGTTCATATTGATGCTAATGTTACTCTGCAGAACAGCCGTCTCCGACCTTGTGCCTCCATCTCCATGGCCCAGTCCAAGCCATCTGGAGGGCAACAGGTTGGGGCAGGCTGTGTGGATGTATCAAGCAGATGGCCGGTTCTGCATACATAAGAATCAGACCTGAGCACTTCAGGTTTGACTACAAAAGTTGTTTTATTCGAAGAAAGAATGTGTTTATTGGAACTTGGTATGTGGCATTTTGAGAATATGCTACTTAGGCAAGAGATGAGGTGATTTAGTCTCTCTCTCAATGAAGACATTGATTGTGAAAGATTTTGCATACCTCTGCTCATTCAAACGGAGCCTGCAGCCAAGGAACTCACCGAAGATGGAGACTTGGAAGGGCAGCAATGATGGAACTTGAAGAGATCATCAAGTGCAAGGATGTTTCACTGGAGACCAAGGCCAAGATCATCCAGTCACTATGTATGAGTGTGGAAGCTGGGCAGGGAAGAAAGCTGAGAGGAAGAAAATTGATGTGTGCGAAACATGGCACTGGAGGAGAGCTTTGCAAATGCCCAGGACTGCCAAAAATATCAGCAGAAGTTTCCTGGAAACAAAAATGAGTGAACTGAAGCTTTGAGCACATAGTGAGAAGGGAAGACTCACTGGTGGATGGACTCCCTGAAGGAAGCAAGCCTGGAGTTTGCAGCAGCTGAGCTGGGCTGCCAAGGATAGGACATTCGTAGGGCTTCTTGCTCATAAAGTTTCCCTAAATCGAAGCTGACTTGATGGCAACTAACCAACGACAACAAATTCTTCCCCAAATGTTATGTTGTAAGCCGCCCCGAGGCTTCGGCGAATGGGGCGGCATAAAAATGTTTTAATAAATAAAATAAATAATAAGATAATAGTATATACTGAAAGTAAGCAAAAATAAAATTAATGTGCATAATTTAAACCTGTTGCCACATTCCTGTAAATGTCAGTAGAGCACAAGAAGCAGGATCAGACCAAAGGCTTGTCTGGTCTGGTTCAGCGTCCTCCTCCTCAGTGGTCATCCGGATGTCTCTGGGACGATGACCAGCAGGACACGCAGAAGTAGCCCTCTTTACTGTCATTTCCTCTGAGCTCTTATCTCCATGCGTTTGTCTTTGCCCCTCGTAAAGCTGCTCAAACTGGTAGCCATCATCACATCTTATGACAATGAGTTCCACAAGTTTAGTGCCACCCCCAGGTCTTGGAAGGCCCCAGTGGGGCCCCTCTTGCCATGAACTGACCATCTCATTCCCATTTTCCCCAGCAGCTGTTCTTCTTCATCCCCTTCATCATTGCCACTACCACCGGGTGGCTTGTTGGCAGAGGGGTGGTAAACATAGGCTCTCCTGTTGCTCCTCTTACCGCCACGTACATGGTCTTGGCTGAAGTGACAGCCAGGGGAAGAAGCGGGCTACGGTGGAGAAGACCAGGAGTGTCTGCAGAGGGCTTTCAGTGAGTGGGCCCCAGCTGGGATATGGGCCCTTGGAAAGTACGCAGGCACGCCTGCCTGCCTGCCTGCCTGCCTGCCTGCCTTTGAAGCTGGCCTTGCCAAGGTTAAGCACACGTTGTGTGAACAAGTGTTGTGTTTCGCCTGGATCTACCTGCAGGCAAACTTGGGCAACCTCAAAGGTATGCATGCATATATGCATCTATTCACATTTATGTACCCCGTTATTAGCTGGAAAGTAATCAAGTCAATGTGCAGCAATGTAGAACAATAAAACCTTAAAACAGTCAAGGAAAACCCAAGAGCATTTATTTATTTAGACAACTTATATTTAAAAGCAGTAAAACATCAAAACACGCACCCCTAATATTATGAGATGGAGAAAGCACATGTTCGCGCTCTCTCCACATCACATTGTATTTTTATAAAACCCTTTCATGTCTTGTTCTCTCCCCTCATCATTTATAAACCATTTGTAAAGCCAATAAACTGGTTTCGGGCTTCACCTCTGTCAAAAATAACACACCTGTTGCCTACATGGGGCAGGAACGTGCTGGCTCGTAATGGGGACTGGCTCTCATGGATGCGTTTGGGCATTGCCCATGTCTAGGCCTGTCCTTGCCCTGGAGGGGAAACCATCCAGTTGCCAGTTCAATGTTAAGCCTGACTTAACTCACCTGTCTAAGCAGACCTATGCGTGTCATTCTCAAAGTGCACATTTGGGACAATTTCTCTTTCTCCAAAGTGCTGCTCAGGCCACTATGGATGAGAGCATCGTGGCCATTCTGACTTGGGCAATCCAGTGCCTTGCCCAGGGCTGGCAAGTGTGTGCACACGAAGGCTTCCCTGATGCTAGTTTCCAGATCACCCTGGCTCTCTGCCGGGACCGTGCACTCACGTGACCCTCTCTGTGTCCTCCTGTTTTTATTAGTACTAGCATTTTGCATTTCACGAATGTGTGCAAATCCGCTTGGTTTTCATAAGCATGTTCCCAGCACTGCATGTGGATTTACTTCCTACTAGAACCTGGCTCGCCTTAGTAAAATCTGGATTTCTAACCCAGACAAAGTTGATTCTCTTTCTCCCCATTTCCCCCTAGGCCTAGGTGCTGGTTGTTGACTTAGTTGGTAGTAGCCTAAGTACATGTAATCATGTATTTCAAAAGTTGTCTTCCTTCTGAAATCCAGTCAAACAACCTTGTTATGACCTTCCGCTAAAGCTAGTTGTTGTTGTTTTAGTTCGTAACTATGTAGATCGGGGGTAAGGAGTGTTTTGTGTTTTGGACTAAGCTTTCTGACAGCGCCTTCCTTGACTTGGTGTGTGCCAGATGTTTGGGACTGGAACTCCCATTGTTTCCAAATATTGGCCACTCACACAGCTGAGAAGGTTTGCTGTCGTGCAAGCACAGGTAAAATCAAATCAAATCCTTTTTTGTGCTTTTGCACAATCTGTATTTTTTGGGAGTAAAATGCTTTAAAAAGATTCATGGGCACTTTGTAGGGGCTCGCAGTGGCTGTCAAACAACCCACCCACTGTCATTCATTGCCGGGGAGAATCACCCTGACATGTGACTGTGCCAGGTGCTTCACACGTGCCGTGGCTTAAACAAGCTATTGTGGCTTGTTTAAGCCACAGTGATCGTTACCACAACGGGGCTTGTTACCCTGGGCAGCTGCTCTCTTACTTCCTCCTTTTTTGTAAACCTTGCTGAAGCCCACATCTCATACCTTTTAAGGAACTTCCTTGATGGAAGAAGAATCAAGTACTGTGCACACCAGACGTGCTAGAAGCATCACAATCAAAATCTCTCTGATGCTTTGCTGCCTGAGTGGATATGAAAAAGGCAGATATTTTGAGGTGGGGAGGTTCTCCATAGTAGCCAGAAACTTTTATCTTACTGCTGAAGAAGCAGAAGGTCAAAGTGACCTGGTTTCCTCCTTCCCAAACCCTCCAAAATTGCAGCAGTTTGAAGAAGGCCTGGATCTCCAGCCCTTCAGTTGCCAAGAATGTTTGTGGCAGCAGCACAAAGGGCCCTGTGGGTCACAGCTCAGGCAAGGAGCTCTGTGGGGAGAGAGGGCTGGGAAAGGGGGGCAGCAGCTGGCTCGGCTCGGCTCGGCTCGGCTCGGCTCGGCTCGGCTCGGCTCGGCTCTGCCAAGCACGGCCACCTCGCTGCAGCTCATTCCTTTTGGGCAGCTTGACCATCCATGGTTGGGTGCTGGGAAAAGCTTTCTTTCAAGATGCTCGAGAAGAAGGTTTGTTGGCATGGGCATGATGTCTGCTCTCACCACGGTTGCCTTCCTGTGTCAACCACAGTCGCACACTCTGTGTGGGACTCTTTTTGGGAACTGTTTGGGAAGCAGTCCTTGAAAAACGTTCAGAAAGTTCAGCTGGTCCAGATGCTGCTCTGGACTGGTTGCAACAGCATCGCTGTCACAGCAGCATCAATCCCTTTCCAGGCACCGTTCAAAACACCCCACAAAAACCATACATGACTTGGAACCGGGCTACTGGAAAGGCCGCCTTCTCCCATATGAGCTTGCCTGAGGTTCAGGGTTCTGGGGCTGGTCCTTCTCTTGGCCTGGAAGGTGAGGTTGTCTTTCTGCTTTTAAGAAAAGAGGTTTAATTCAGGCAGGTCTTTGATATATTTGGGAGGGGTTTCTAAATTCCTTGATGCTGCTTATTTCTTATTTATTTTTTACATTTTTGATGCTATACTCTCGTCATGATTTTGTTTTAATTGGCGTGTATTGTTAGCTGCCAGGAGTGCTGTTCTTTGGCAGAAAGGTGGGAAATGAAGGGGGGCAGGCAGACAAAGGGTGTGCAAGTGGCGGGGAGAGGAATGCGAGCGGGAGGGAGGGTGAGGGGCCCTGGGGTGAGAGAAGGATGGGGAGAGGTGGGGGAAGGGAGTGGCTGGGAGGGGAGGGTGGGTGAGAGAAAGGGGGAAGGGTTCCCCTGCCCCCCAAGTTACCTACCATCTTTCTTGTGTCACCACTCATCCCAATTAATAAAACAACAATTCTTCTGGAACCGTCTCAATGTGCAGAATATTTCTTTTCTTTTTTTCCCATGCACAGGTTAATTCCTCCTTTCTGCTATGGAAAATGGGAGATGGTTATTGTCCTTTGGGCTGGCTTTTTAAAAATGGTGCTCGATTTTTTTTTTTTTTAATGGCATCAGTGTTTACATGTAGGTGGTTTCCCTCTTTCAGCTGTGAAAGCTGCGTGGAGCTGTTGTTTGTCCGGGGGGCTGGGAACTGCCAAGAGTGTGACACCCCTTTGCGGAAGAGCAACTTCAGAGTGCAACTCTTTGAGGACCCAGCTGTTGACAAGGAGGTGGAAATCCGGAAGAAGGTGTTGAAAATGTGAGTGCTGGAAAACCCCAAAGAAGCGATTTTGTAGATCTGCGCTCCAAGGTCGAACTTGTTTGACTGTTTTTAAGAAAGGGGTCTGTTTAAAGACTATGCATCATTCTCTTAGTTTTGATTTCCAGATACACTATATTTATTGTTCATTTATTTCATTTTAATACTGCCCAAAAGTCAAGGTTCTCTGGGCGATGAACAAAAGTGAAACATTAAGACATACACACAAGCATTAATTTAAAAGAATAAAACCACAATAGCTATTGCAGGATAAAACAGAATGTACAAAAACAAAGTTTAAAAGTTAAACTTAAAATACTGGAAATGTAAAAAGCTCTTCATCTGGTGGCCAAAAGAATACCAAGTAGATGCCAGGCCCTTTGGGGAGCTCATTCCAAAGCCAGGGGCCACAACCAAGGGGGCCATCCTCCAGGTAGCCCTCCCCTCACTTCCTTTGGAAGGGGCTCCTAGAAAAGGATGTCTGAAGATGACTTGGGGGGTCCGAGTCGGTACAAATGGGAGGAGGTGACCCTTCAGATAATCTTACGTGTCTATACTGAAGGCACCTTTCATGAAGGAAAAAAGAAAGATTAATGTCATTTTCAGGGACTTCATCATAAGCTTGCTCAGTACAAAGCCCAACATCTTATTTTTGCTTTGTACATTGTAGATTTAGATTTGTATTGTAACACTGCATGCACTGATCCTCCCAGGAGGCTCAAACTGGAGTCTTGGAACTTTTATCCTTGGCCTGACACTGGGAGATTTAAAAGCCTGATAGCTAAGGTGCAGACATTTTATGATGAAGGAGGCCCTGAAAGCTACCAGTTGGTCAGAATGCATGTAACAGTTAACATACCAGTTTTTGTGTTTTTAGCAAGCACTTCTTGTGAAATGGGGTTTTTTTTAAGCTCTGACTCCTCGATTTGCATATATTCCACGCTATGTGTTTATATCTGTACAATTTAAAGAGGTGCTTGCATCTGTTTAACTCTATAGAATAAATAATATTTTATGGATTCTTATTTTCTTAAGTATTACTGTCATGCTCACTGATGGTTTTGCATGGGTAAGTACTGATGTCTCCTCCGGCACCACCTCTTGTTTTGACACTGACTGTTGAAAAGTCTCGAGTGTTGTGCTTTATGGCTGGCCAAGCGATGGTGATCAGATTCAACCTATCAGGTGGAAGAAATAGTGCAACTTACAGAGTGGTTTACTACGCACCTGATGCAGACTTCAGTGTTAGAGATGATTATACATCTAGGTAGAGCTGACATTGCATTCTCAACCTGCTGTTCCTCGTTGTCTCTTTAGACACACTTTTCTCACTACCCGAGTTCAAACCGGGTCAGTCTGGATAAGCTCTGGATGCTTGGATTCCCAGGAAGAAGGCATAGCAAGAGCGTGGATGTATGCAAATCTGTCTTGTTTGTTTGTTTGTTTTATCTCTTCTCCCAAAGATACAATAAAAGAGAGGATGACTTCCACAGTCTAAAGGAATATAATGATTTCCTGGAAGAAGTTGAAGAAATCGGTAAGTCCTGATGCTTGCATATTTGATGCGCTGTACGCTTTTATCTCCTGCAGGCTTCACAGAACGTTACAGCGAAATCTCTCTTAGCTGCTCTTTATTGCGATAGCCAGTGGTTATCTAATGACTTTCTCCTTACATTTTTAATTGGAAGCTGGTCAGTTGAAGGGGCGAATCCAGGTGGTGGATGTCTGGCTATCGAGGCTGGGGGTGGGTGAGGAGTAGTCCTCCAACAGGAAGGCGAAAATGCTTTGTAAGGACATAGTTGGTGCTGCAGAGAGGTGGTGGGGGAGATCACATAAAAAGAGTAGGAAGGAGAGAGTAGCATTCGGACTCTTAATCTGTGCTTCTCTTGGTGTTGTTTACCCTGACAGAAGCCATATGGCCCCCTTTTCATCCTCTCCCGACTTCAAGTACAGTAGCTGGGAGTGCTTTGAAGTGCTTGACCTTGCATACCATTTTGGCAATGTTTTTATGGCGCTAATTCAGAGGGAGGAAGATCTTTCGCTCACTAGCTCGCTCGCTGTGGATTTCAGGCCTACAGATGCTGTCGCCGGAGGTGCTCAGGCTTCTGTGGGCACTCATAATTTTTGGGAGTCACTGGAAGAGTAGTCAAGAAGCTTGAATGCACTGATGAAAGGGGATAATTTTGCAGTGAGAGGAGCTGGATGCCTTGGTCAGGGAGCATGTGAGCATGTAAAGTGCAAAGCTAAACTGTGGAATGGCCTGCCAGGAGACAGGTGCCCAACACCCCAGATCGCTACCTTCAGGAGGGAGTTAAAGACGTATCTCTTCTGGCAGGCCTTCCCAGATTAGTTTTATTATTTACTGTGCTTGTTTCTAGTTGAAATTTAAAGTACTGTTGGTTTTAATCTCTTGTAAACCACACAGAGCCTATGGGAATGAGGCAGTATGTTAAATAAAATGAAAATTTAAAAAAGCTGGCCATACTTTTACATGAGGGCAAGGTCTACTGGCTGGAGCAGAGGAGGCAATCTGCCACTTTATCCCAGTTCAGACCATGGGTCCCTCTAGCTCAGTGGTCTTGACACTGACTGGCAGCTGCTCCCCAGGGTTCCAAGCACAGATTTTTCCTGGCCTTTCCTGCCCTACCTATTGAATATTGAAAGTGTGAAGTATGTTGTGAGCTGCTTCAGATGTATTTAGAACAGAAAGCCTTTAATACGTCTTTTAAATGTTTTTAAAAGAGATTTGAAATGCTTTCCCTTGTTTATTTATGGGTACTTACAAATTATTTTATCTACAGATATCAAATAAAAAAGAAAATATTAAAAATCAGTACATTGAAGCTATAATCAATATTTCTCTGTAGATCTCCGTCTCCATGAGATGGAAAGCTCAGTGACACAGAGAAGATTTGCATAAACAGAGCACGTGTAAACAGTTCTTTAAAGTATGCCAAGGAATAAAAAGTCCATGTTGTCTAAACTCAGGGGAAGGTTATTTTATAAAAAAAGGTGCCACTGCACTCTGGGTCCCGCTCTGCCACTACACTGGATGCCCTGTGGTTTAGGGCCATGCCACCCTTCTGGGTTACCACTGCTGCACCATGAAAAGTAGCCAAAAGATAGTTGGGCAAATAGCTATATGCTCTACACATGGCTTGCAGGGCTGGTGCTTTGGAGGCACCACCATCAGTCCAGGTGGGCACATCCTGTCATAGGACAGGAAACCTGAGCTCGGTGAAGTAGGGCTGAGCAGGCGTGAGGATGTGCTGAGATGCTGTCCAGCAGAGAAGCGAGTACAGGCAGCCCTTTGGCCAAAGGATGAATAGGAAAATTGTGGGGAGTCAGATCAAACTCAGCAGCTGTCTAGGACCAGGAGAAATCGCATTGGCCCTTTGTGCCGACGGATGACTGGTGAGTCAGTGGGTCGCATATCTCCTCCTGGCCATCTGCACTGGTGGCGATGAAGAAGATCGAGGTTCAGTGGCTCCCTCTTCTGGTGAGGTGGGTGGCACAGAGAACAAGGTAGCCTGCGCCAGGTACGCAACACTTGAATGTGAGCCATGGGCTGCAGCAGAAGAGCAAAGCCCGCGCAGTTTCAGCAGTGTGCCCACTGCTGCAGGTGCAATTTTACTGCATCTTTCTTCTACCCACCTCTTTGCACCACGGTTTGGAAAACTCTTCCTGTCATCTCGGAGCTTTTCTTTCCTTTCACCCCAGAAGGTTTTGCTATAATCTGGTTTTCAGAAACTGAACTGGTATTCAAACAAAATTAAACCGTTCAGGCCAAGCTTTAAAAACAATGGGCTTCTTGTATTGTATTTTGACAGATGTCTAAAGGCAGGCCAGCATGTAAACCAGCCAGTGAGAGATGGACAAGGAGACAAAGAATGGTCACACACTAGTCTACTTCCTTTCTTTCTGGCTTGCTTTGCAACTGGTTAAGGCCCACAGGCAGGTTCTCTTTGGAAACGTACATTGTACTTCAGTGCGAGCACAAATAAGAGACTTTCCTGAATTCCTCACAAAAGAGCCACCTGCACTGTAGATCATATTTTCCTGTAACGTAACAGGACCTGTTTATGTGGACAAGGCTGTTTCTGCAATAACCTCTCTGTGGTTGCAGAATGCCTTCCCTGAAGATTGCCGAGTCCTGCTTCTTGTGGTTGCAGCTTTTGATAGATCAAATTCATAGATGAAAAACAGATGGACTAAACAGATGTCCCGAGTGATAAGGAAATGGATTTTAAAATGTTACTTATAACACAGAGGCTTGTTTTGAAACCCTGCAGAAGGCAAGCACCATCTTAGAAGAGGTACCCTCTATTCTCTCGCCTGTCAGGATAGAATGTCCCTTTGCAGATGATCTGTGTGTGTGTGCGTGCATGCGCGCGTGCACTCACACACACACACATATCTCCAAAACCCTGGAGGAAGTTTAAGGACAAAGGTCCTTTCAATATCTCTTGTCAGAACTTCCGGTATTTGCAGTGGCATCTGGTGTCAGGACTCAAATGCACAGGGTGTCTTGAACAGGTGTCTGGAAAGATGCTGAGCTGAGCCACCCCTTGTATCTGGCTAAAGCAGGCACTGTGGGGAAACCAGCCATGGCAGCTGAAGAAGTTCCCTTGCCTCAGTGAGTTTCCCCGGTAGTCCCCAGCTCCTAAACGCTTTCTTTAAATGTGCTGTTATTTTACCTTTTTAACCGTCTCAACAGCCCTGAAAATAATTTAGTCAAATGTTTAAGGAAGCATAGAAAGAAAGGAAAGGGCATGGGTCGAACTTGCTTGCTGCTGTGGCTCAGTTCTTCTAGGCAGCAGATCATCTTCATGTACCTCCGTTTGTATCTGGCTCTTGCCCCACCTTTGATGGGGAGGGAGGGGCTCTTGCTTAATGGCAGAGCATTGTTTTGCATGCAGAACATTCAGCTCCTGGCATCCCTAAGCAAGGCTGGAAATATTTTTGTCTGAATCCTTGGAGAGCCACTGCCAGTGTTGGGTGACGTGGATCAGGCTACAGATGCCATTTAAAGCGGCTTCCTACATCACATGAGAATGGTGGCTGACTGTATGTATTTCTAAGCGGTGCCATGCGCATTATGTGGGGAACATGCATCTCTGTGAAATATTATTATTATTATTAATTATATTTCTATACCACCCATAGCCAAAGCTCTCTGGGTGGTTCACAACGTTGAAGTCCCCCATCCAGATTCCAACCAGGCCTGACCCTGCTTAGCTTCCAAGATGAGGCGTGATCAGGCCCTTCAAGCTACATGGAAGCTGTTATAGTTATAGCCTAATTTTAAAAACAACCATATCCTAACACTGGCGCGGTTGCGCACCATCGCTGGTTTTATCCGACAGCCCCAAAGTCAGAGCTCGTATTGTCCAGCCAGCGATGAAACGGGAAAATCAGAAGCTCCCCGAGTCATCGCTCCATGAGTGGTAACCTGTCCAGCTGTTGGATGCCCAGCCCTTTTTTATGTCAAAGCACCTAAGCCAGTGAAGTCAGGGGAGGTGGGTAGATGAAGACATTTCAGGCCGGAGCATGTCAAGTGGAAGGCAGGACCAGCGTGGAAAGTTTGGGATGTGATAAAAAGCATGAATACAACTGTTACAAAATTAAGGCGAACTCTTGTTTTCCTGCTTGCTGAGAAATTCTGTGCACCTTCAGGAGCTTACTGCCGTGCCAGCAAGTTGGAATAATTCAAATTTGCATCGTTTATACTGAAATATCTGCTGTTTTAATGGCAATAGCAGCGATTACTTAAAACCAGCTTAAACTAGAAAAATAAATACATGTATGCCTGAAATTGTGCATGTGATTTATAATTTGGTGGCATTTAGTTATAACATTTAGGATTTTTTGGTACTAGAAACTGAGTGCTAAGCTGAAGGTAAGGGTATTTTAAAGAAATGTTATCCTTGTATAAATGCAATGCTTGTTGTGACTTTTGTTAATATAGCTTTGTTTTTCCTTCCCTTTGCTATTTTTTAAAATGTTGATCCAGTGTTCAACCTGACCAACAACATTGATGTGGAGAATACAAAAAAGAAAATGGAGATGTACCAAAAAGAGAACAAAGAAGTCATTCAGAAAAATAAAATCAAACTGGTTAGTTGCTTAGCATCTTTTTGTGTTTTTACATTCCTGTCTGGATTATTCGAAAAAGGACATGGGAAATAATGGCAAAATAGTCTCTTAGAAAAACAGTTCCTTAAAGTATCCAAAATATTAGGTTTGTTAAATAGCTAAAGCACGGGGTGAGCAACTTGTGACCCTGTAGGGTGTTTCCCCCTACATCCTCTCTTCCCTCATCGTTGGCTTGGTTAGCTAGGGCTGATGGGAGTTGTGGGCTATAACATCTGGAGGACACAAGCCGCACCATAAAGTGGGTTTTTTAAAATACCCTTTGAACTGTTTTCAGAATGGATACCAAGGTAGCTGAAATAAAGTATGTTCTTTGGACTGAGGAACAGACACAAACATTTTCTGTGGCCCTTTTATGAGCTCATTTACGCAGCGCGTTTAAGACGCAATGTTCTGTTTGTCTTTTCATTACAGCAAACACACATGGAAGCAGAGTAGGCTCAGATGTTCAGAACAAATAAGGAGAAATGCAAATGAACTGAGCTTCACTTCCTGGGCTTGCTGAGCCCATGCATCGTTTTTATTTATTTATTTATTTATTTATTTATTAGAACATTTCTATGCTGCCCCTTGACCCATTGAGGTTGTAACAGGGAGTGCAGTTCACTTCTGTTACGTTCACCCGCTGCCCTAAAACAGGGGTCAGCCTCCTTGAGCAGACCAGGAGCTGCAGGCCACACTCCCCCCCCCCCCCCCTTTGTCCCACCCCATGAAAAAGTGTAAGGAGGAAAAGTAAGTTACATTTGTGCATTGCACCCCCGTCACTGCCAGTGCCAAAACCTTGGAATGGACAGATTTTATCTGAAGAAAAGCTAGATTTGTTTGTTACAAGCCTCCACAGAATCTTATTATGGAGCACTTTTTGGCTTAAAAAAATTGGGCTGGTGGGGGCAATGGGGGATGGTGAGGGCTCCATTATGGCTGCACACCTTTGCATTAGAAGTTTGGCAGGACACCTGTGTCTCGGCTGTATCGCTTCAACCTGCCTGTGGGAATGGGACAGAGCTTACACAAACGGACGTTACTTAAATAGGATGCCTCCACGCAGAAAACTGCCTTGTTGTGGCAGGAGAGGATCTCTCTGTGACTTGCCAGCTTTGTGTGTGGAAGGAAACATTTTTATTTGCACGGGATGTGAGCCCCAACCTGCTGCTTGAGGTGGTACAGCGTGGACACATGTTTATTGCCCCAGAGTAAAAAAGGCCATTCCAAACCTTCCTTAGTTGAGCGGTCCAAGATCTAGGATGCAGGCTGTCTCTCGTGTTTTGCTCTTCCTTGGGATTTCATTCTCTTAGGAAAGCTGGGCTTGCTTCATCTCAGCACTGTTAAATGTTATTGGTTCTGTCTAGTCTCGGGAGCAAGAGGAGCTGGAGGAGGCCCTGGAGGTTGAACGTCAGGAGAACGAGCAAAGGCGGCTTTTTATACAGAAGGAGGAGCAAATGCAGCAAATGCTGAAAAGGAAGAACAAACAGGAACTTCTGGATAAGTTGGTAGGTGATGGGAGAGATGGGCTTCTGGAGGCTCCTCCTACATCTGAAAAAAAACTGATCTTGTCTCTCTTGTCGGACGCTTTCCTGTCACATGTCACCAGTGGACAATGCCAGAGGACTGACTGCATCGTTCTCCCGCTGGACCGCTCCTAGATAAACTCTCCCCTCAGAGTAGCATAGGTCTGGTTTTTTACCTTGCATTCCTTACAACAGCCCTGCTGGGTGGGTTAGGCCAAATGCCCAAGTCACTCAGCACATTCATGGTGAAACACGATTTGAACCCTCTTCCGGCTCCATGATGCGAACTATAAGGCTGCTCTGGCTCTGTGGATTGACCTCTTTTGGGAAATGGCTGCAGATAATGCAGTTTTCACCCCATGTTGCCTCCCTCCACCCCTTCAGTAGTCAGTTCTTTTAGTTGTGTTCAGGGTCACAACTAAATTTGGGTTGGATTTATTTAAGGAGTAGCTCTCGGCTACTCCCTTGGCTTTGTGGCCCAGCCTGGATATTCATTTCCTACCATTGAGCTGCGGTGCTTTTGCTTCCCATTTCCCCACTCCTAGCCTACTCCTATGGGTCTGTTTTAAGAGTGCACCAGCTGTGTTTCAGATTTTTCCCTCCCCACAGTCCCCCAAGCTCCTTTTTAAAAATCGCTTTGTTTTTATGATCCTGCCCAGTTGTGTATATACTTTATGTCTGTTCTGTTTTCCTCCTCCATATGGGAAGGCTGAATCCTTGGACTTCATATCTGACCCTGAGGGATACCCACTGACAGGGGATGGAGGCTGGTGTCAGGTGATTTAAGAGGTGGCTTGGCTGTTCAGGGACTCTTCCAGAGGAAGGCGCCTCACACGGGAGCAAGGAGCTGGTGGGCCTTTTACTGGATTTTTAAAGGAAGGGGTGTTTCATCTTTGGAAATTATTTCTAGGCCATTGGTCTGGCTTCCCAAGCATGCCTCTGCTCTGAGAAGTTGACCAAAAAAGGAAAGCCCATAGAGTATTTGCTGTTGCAGCCAAGGAGAATGTTTAAAGACCTGGCAAGTTTCTGAGGACCTGCTTGCTTGTTCTCGCTCTTTCTTCCTCATGCTAAGAGTCGTTCTCCATGACGGCAGAGCAGGGGCAGATGCACCTGGAGTCAAACAGGATATCTGAGAAGTGGAGAGAAGCAAGGAGAAAAAGTTGGGAAGCTCAGAGCAACTCCTCTTCCTTCAGAACTGGCAAGGTCTTTTTGTGCAGCCCTGGATCGCCAGGTGGCCTGGGCAGGAGGCTGTATCCGTGGAAGGGTAAACTTCCAGCCCGTAGGCACTGCGGGTTACACTGAAGGGCCTTCTGCTTGCATCCCTTCAGCCATGGCCCTTTAAAGACCAAAAGGAATTAGGCTCGGAGATTCATGGAGAGCCAAATGCTCTCCAAAAAGCCTCTTGAGGGTGTGAGAGAAATTGTCCCGTTGCAGCTGAAAGGATTCCGGTGCAGGAAACGGCTCCTGAGCTCAGTCTGCACCCCTTGCAGTCCCCCAGGATTCAAAGCTGGGAGCAGATTGGTTGGGGCGTAAAAGATGCAGGAGAAGGTTGGCCTGGAGGTGCTCTTCCTCCGAGTCCAGTTCCCTCGGCTTTCCTAAGCCATGAAATTTGGAAAGGTCCTTTCTTGTAGTAGCCCATTCCCAAAGCAGCTTGTAGTAAAAACACTAAATAGCAAATATGAAGGGGTACCAAATGCCCAAGTCTGAAAAGGCTCAGTGGAAATAAACCCTGCCCAGTACTATCTTATGGCAGTAAGCAAACTGGAATCAAACTGGGTGTTACTCAAAGTGATCTGTCGCTGATGGAAACAGCAACTTCATGTTTTCCTTCTCTTGAAGTTGAAGAATGCTGACCCACAGTGGCCGGCATGGCGGTGGTCTTCATTTCCCACCACATCTCTGACCCACATTCTTGGCTGGACATCAGGCTGTGGGCTCCCTGAAGCCAGGGGACTCCAAGCTTTCTGGCCTCTGGACATGCTTGTGGATTGGAGGAACTCCCGTTGGCACCACCTCAAAATGGCTGCCGTGGAGGATGTGGCCAGTCGTATAATAGCTGCCTGTCAGCCTGAGTAGTCCAAAGAGGTGGTGGTGGGAGGAGAGGAAACAGTGAGGCCAGGGGCCGTGAGGGAGGGGGAACTGGCAAGGCAGAGAAGAGCGATGCTGGAGGCAGGGAAGGGGAGACGCTGTAAAGGGGTGCTGAGAAGGAAGCAGACTGACAAAAAGAGTGCGGAGAGTGAAAGGCCAGGACTAGGAGGGGAGAGAAGGATGGAGAATGGGGATAGGATGGGAGAAAAGTCCTGGGGAAAACGGGTCATGTGGAGACAGATAAGGGGGCCAGAGGCTGGGTGCAGAGAGCGGGGAGCAAGGGGGAGCGTCTGTGTGAACAGGAGATGGTGCGGATTCTCAAGGAAGCTCTTTCCCTTCCTTGCTTGCCCACTAGTGGCTGAGCTGCAGCAGGCCCTGGAACAGGAAAGAGGCTCTGATGCCTTAACAATTTTCACAGCTTGTTTTAGATGGGGTTTTTTTGGAATGGGGCAGGGAATGGAGAGCTTTGTAGGCACTGTTGGGTGCCCCAGTGGGCACTGTGTTGAGCACCCGTGTCCTCATGGACTACAAGTCCTCAAATCCCCAGCCAGTGTACGAGGTGTGTCCAGAAAGTAATGAGAATGCTATTTCAGAAATTCTTTTATTGAACAAAATTACAACTGGACATTGTCTCCTTCAAGGTATGCACCTTGTGAGTATACACAATGCCCTTAGTGATTTTTCTATTCTTCATAGCAACTCTGGAAGTCTTCAAGTGGGATGGCGTTCAGAGCCGGCGTAGTGGTTCTTTGGACATTATCCATACTACCGAAATGGTGTCCTTTCAAACCATTCTTCATCTTTGGGAAGATGAAACAGTTCCAAGGAGCCAAGTCGGGGCTATCGGGTGGATGGGGAAGCCCCGTGATGTGTTTCTTAGTCAACTCTCTGGCAGCCAAAGCACTGTGACTCGGTGCGTTGTTGTGATGAAGGATCCAAGTCGAGCCAATCTCAGCTTGTGCCATCGGTACACTTGTGCAGATGATAGTGGAGCTTTTCTCACCATTTCCAAAGTTTCTGATGCACTTTTACCCAATGTCACGCAACATTTTATCGTGTATCGCTGTTCCAAACTCGCTTGCATTTTTCTTAATACGAGGCACTTGAACAGAGTGTCACAAAAGGGTGTCGGTTGATCCATCAGCTGCGTCCCTACCTGGAGGCAACAATGACACATGCATTGGTTACTTCCCAACTGGACTTCTGTAACGCATTCTACGTGGGGCTGCCCTTGAAGACAGTCCAGATACTTCAGATGGTGCAAAATAGAGCAGCCAGTTGCTGACGGGGACTGGGCGTTGTACTCATATAACTCCAGTCCTCTACCAGCTTCACTGGCTCCCCATCGAAGTCCGGGCCCAATTCAAGGTGCTGGTTATCACCTACAAAGCCCTTAACGGCTTGGGACCTGGATACCTGAAGGAATGCCTGCTTCCATATTTGCCCTCCCGCGCCTTGAGATCGGCAGCAGAGGCCCTTCTCCAGGAACCCTCCTTGAAAGATATTAGGAGGGTGAGTACCCGGAGGAGGGCTTTCTCTGCGGTGGCGCCCAACTTATGGAACGCGCTCCCTAGAGAGGTCCGCCTGGCGCTGTCTTTATTTGTTTTTCGGCGCCAGGCCAAGGCCTTTTTATTCAAACAATATTTTAATAATTGTTAATATTATTTATTGGTTTTAATTTCTATAGCCAGGGTAAATCCAGATTTTATATTTTGTATGTATTATTGTTTATTTATCATGTTGGAAGCCGTCCTGAGACTTATGCGACTGGGACGGCATATAAAAACTCCAAATAAATAAATAAAAGAGAATGCCTTGACTCTGACAGGGCTGGAATGCAACCAGTTAGTGTTCCAACGTATACCTGGCCTTGCACCCCAAGTGATGTGGACCGGCTTCTCCCTTCTCAGAGCCCTTCTCGAGCGTAGGGACCTCATTCTCATTACTTTCTGGACACACCTCCTATTCCATACCTTGTGGAATTTTCTACCACACACCGTATCAATGGCCAATGACATGGACGTGTTTCAAAGGCGGTTCATCAGACTCATGGAAGAGAAGAGATCAGTGGTTATGAGTCGTGACGGCATACACTGGGGAAGGCAACTGGGATGGTGTCATTGCCTTGCAATGCTGCTTGTGGGTTTCCTGGAGGCAGCGGGTTGGCCACTCTATGGACTGGAAGCTGGACTAGAAAGAGCTTTGTTCTCATCCGGCCTGGCTCTTAGCTGGATTCACAGTTGCCATTTTCAGGGGCAGTCAAGTGTCTCATGTGGTTTGCAGTCTGATTCCCTAGCAGCAAGTAGAAATGATTTATGGTGTTGACTGGGGGTTATAGTGGCTAGAGATGGGAGATGAAATCCCTCTTCCAGCTCCCAGCTTGCTTGATGGCTATTCCTTGGCTTTCCCTAAGGGATGTCATGAACAAAGGCTCTGTTGGCCGCCCTGAATGCCTGAGAAGAAAGGCATGTCTTAAATGTGATGGAAAAAAATAGATGTAAATAGTCCATTTTGCAGCAGAAGGAAAAAACAAATGTTTGGAATTCAGTGTACAATTCTGACCACAACATCTCAAAAAGGCTATTATAAAGTTGGAGTAAGTGCAGGAAAAAGCAACAGAAGTGCTTTGGTGCCAGAGACCCTTTCTTGTGTAAAAGCGTGCAGCTGCTGGGGCTTTGTCCTTTAGGGGAAAGACGTGCTCTGTGGGACATGATAGCGACTCACAAAATCATACATGGTGTGAAGGAAGTGGATCGTGCATGTGTGGGAGAACCCATAGAGATAGGAAGACCTGGAACTGCCTCCACCCCACTGAAAAATGTGGCGGACACAGAATAACACCAGGTTTTTGTTTCTTCCCCCTAGGGATGTTTGCAAATTTTGATGTCCCCCCA